CATTTATCACTGTGTGCGTTACGTGAGACATTTTCCTTTTTCAATCATTGAAGAGTGTTTTAGAGTGCTGTTAGGAGGCCCCTTCAGCCCAGGCCTGTTTGATGTCAGTCATCTGATCCAAATGTGTGTGTGCAGCCTGCTGTGGCTCAGTCAGGGGAGACAGTGCAAGCATGCTACACGTTTTAATCACTTCTAGTTCCTGCATGTTGCAGTGTGATCACAGAAAGCCACAAGGCTGGGTTACACGGTCCTTTCTAGATGCCCAGCCTGCTTTCTGCATGAGCAAGGTGTGGAGGTGCCAAACTGGTGTAGATTTTAGTGGTCCAGTTGGCTGTTCTGGTGTAGACCCAGTCTGGAGGAGCAGGAACCTGTGGAGTAGCAGCAGCCACACAGCTGATCTGTCTCAGAGCTACATCTCAGTGGAGCTGCTGTCAAAAATGGAGTGGGAGATGTCTGGGGTAGGTGAAATGGGAGTCATGCAAGAGGCAGCAAAGGTGGCACAACAGAAGGATGAGCCCAGTGCTGCAGTTGAAGGACTGGCTGGTCAGAGCCCCAGTGACCTGCTGAGGGACAGATGTGTCACAGATGTGCTCAGATGTGAGATAAGGGTGGCAGGCAGGCACACTGCCATGGGAAGCTGCAGTTCCAGTGCTGTTCCCATTTGCCTGGGCACTGGCCTGTGCCATGGATAGAACGCTGGCCCTACCTCTGTCCTTGTGCCTGCTCTGGACCAGTCTGGTCCTGTGGGTGGTTTCACACCAGTGACTTCTTGGGCTCAGGCTGCATCGTCTGCTTTACCTTGTCTGCATGAGTTGTGCTGGGTGCTGCCTTTGCTTCCTGGAAGAAGCTTTTTTTAACTAAATACCCTCTTATTTGGTTCTTCCCATCCCTGGCTGAACAGCTGTGTGAGTTGACAGGAGTCAGGAAGCAGCAGCCTCACAGCTGTGGGCTCCTGGTGTTTCCCTGCTGTGTTTGAGCAGGAGGTTGTCCATCTGAAGCTGCTGTGAGGCTGCAGCATCCCATGGCCCACATCCCTGCTCTCCAACAGCATCCACGTGGGCTGTGCTTTGGAGTGATTGACCTGGCATCAGCACACAGGGACTTTTTATAATCCTCACAGCCTTTCCACATGACATCGGTATTTTACAGGGACCTGTGGTGTTTTTTACAACATTTTATGTAACTCTGGATAAACAGAGTTAGTGTCTGTGAGTGGTGATGGCTGGTCTGCTGGGGAATAGGATTGTGAAAAGAAATTCAGGCAATGCAGTGTTTTTATCCCACAGTTACAAGGGCACTGGGAACATCCCACACAGAAATGACAAGTTTAGTCAGGTTAAACCTTATATACAGAAACTCCCATAGAAGTGGAGCATGAAGGGTGAGGAGATGATTTTAGCCATGGGCAGGGGTTTATCTTGCATAAGTGCAGGTAACATCTGTGCAAGGCTACTGCTGATTTTGTAGTTGGCCTTTGTAAGGTCACAGCCAATGTCACAGTAAGAGTTTGGGCTGTGCTGTCCAGGCTGCAGCCACCCTGGATAAAATGCAGTTGTGTTCCTGTTGTTCTCTGGCTAAGAATCTGCATGTTGACAGTTTATTTCCCAGCCCTATTTTTATTGTGGGAATTTTTTTTTTCCTCTCACTGTGACTGTCAGTTTTGGAGGCCATTCTGCTGATGCTGGTCTCAGCATTTTGTACTTGGATGCTATTTTCTTCTGGATGCTCAAGGCTGGTATGATGGATTTGTTCTTTCACCATACCCCCTTTCATCATAACCCACTTAGCAAAGGCAGAGCTGGTAGCACAGGGTAGCAGTGCTACAGCCAGAAGGAGCAGACTGGGAAATGCAGTGTGGTCTGGCCAGAGGAATAAGGAGAACTGCCAGCTTTTATCAAGAGAGTTGGAGTTTGCCCTCTGTTGTTGTCGTCCTCCTGCTTTTGTTTCAGTCTTTTCCCCAAAGTAAAGCAGGAAAGTATTGGGGGATGGTGAAAGTATTGGGGGATGGTGAGGCTCTTTTTCCCTGCTGTGAGTGGGTTAGTGTTTGTGAAAAGGAAAAGAATGGCTGAAGTCCCACAGAAATAAGAGTGGAATGAGAATCGGGACTCTGGTTTTAGTTCCCTGGTTTGTCACCAGTTTACTGTCTCTGTCACTGTGAATTGCACCTGGAAATGGTGTAGTTTTCTGTATCTGAAATCCAGCTGTCCAAAATCTGACCCTTTTGAGATCTGGCACCCACATACAGGTCTAAACACCATCCTGCTTTCTAGCCACTTGTATATATGTACGATAAAAGCCTAAAATGAGGCAGCCAGGTTGAAATATGGGAGGCTTCCAAAACTAGTTAATACCAGTTGGCCTTGGGAAATCACTTCTGTTGGCTTTCAATCTTCCAGCCTAAATTATTCCATCAGAAATTAATTTTGTTGACTGCACTTGTCTCATTAATAGTTGGCTCTCTACCTCAGTTTACACAGCTGTAATGAGTAATCATGAGTTTCCCATCTAGGTACAGCTCAGAAATGAGCACCACAGACATAATTTTGCTCAGAGTTATATATTGATCTTGGAGAGACTCCCCAGTCTGTCAGAATTGGTGTTCAAGGGACCCCAGTGCCAGCCCCGTTAGACGACACCTTGCAATAAAACCATGGATGATAAATCCTTATCCATGGTGGAAGGTTTGGAACTATAGATGGTCTTTAAGGTCCTTTGCAATCCAAACCATCCTCTGCCATGGGTGGCTGGTGGATGTGCCTGTGGGATGTTGTCTGACCCCCCTCCTTGGCATGCCTTGCTCTGGAAACACCAGCATGGTGTTTTACAGCAGTGTCTGTGCTCTCCTGCTCTGCTCCCGCAGAGAGAGGGCTGGGAGCAGCAGTGTCCCTTAGAATGTGAGCTCCAGCACTGCCAAGGCCACTGGAGCAGCACAGGCTGTGCTGTCCCCTCTCACAGAGGACACCCTCGTGAGTCACGGGGCTGTTTCATCCCAACAGGGACCTGCACCTGGTGCTGCAGGCAAAGTGGTGATCTCCTCTCCACTGACACACACACCTGGCTTTGGCATGGGAGGAATTACTGCTCTGGCTCTGCCTTTATTCATGGGATTTGATTTTTAGGTTTCTTTCTCCTTGCCTTCCTCAGCTCTTTAGTCGGGGAGGATCACACTGGTGGTAGTATAAAATGAGAGCTGCCTTTATGAGAAGAGGGCTGGATTTTCAGAAAACACTAACACAGCCCAGCTTTGGAGGTCTGACTCGGACATCACAGTCAGGTTTGGGAGCTTTTGCTTATGCAAAGCAGCAGAAGTGGGTTGTTTCCATTTTCCATTTTGTTGCCAATGGGGCTGTCTTTGTCCAACTGTGCCCTGGTGTACCCTGGCAGAGGCAAACTGCCCCCAGAGAAGAACTGCTGTCAGAATACTTTAAAGTCGGTCAGGCAGGCTCCTGCTTCGTGAGGTTTATCAGCAAAGATTTTCAGTGCCTCCAGTGGGAGGCTATTTTTATTCTATCCAGGGGCTACCTTCTGCTCTGAGGTCTTGATCACATTTTTTTTTTGGAATAGAGAAACCTGCCTCTTTTAGGACAACCTTAAATACCTTCATCTTTTGCAGTCCAAAAAACTAGGTAGTTTTTTATTCAAGGTAAAAGTTTTTGGCATTTCTGTGACATGTTCAAGATTTCTTTTGTTGCTTTTTTACTGTAGAAGAGGGACACTGCTGTAGACATGAGAATACTCTGTTTTCTCCATTGAGCAGAGCTGACAGCAAGTGAGGTACTTAATGGTTCATCCTTCATGCTCTGATCAATGCTTGACTGGTGCAGGAAATCCACATTGTGTTTCACTGCACCATGTAATCAAGATTGGAAGAGCTCTCCAGAGATGATCTTGTTCATTTTCCTGCCCCATGGCAAGATCAGTCATGCCTGTGTCTTTCCTGACCTGTGTTCTGTTAAAGACCTCTGCAGCCTTTCCAGGCAACATATTTCAGTACCTCACAATCCCTACCAGTAAAATCTGGTTTCTCCCCCACCTTGTATCTAACCTGAATCATCTCTGCTGCAGTTTAAACTTGTCACTTCTTGTCCCATCCATTTTGAATTCAAAGAACAGGTCATTCCTTCTTGCAGCAATGTTAAATATTTGAAGACTATTCATGTGCTTCTCTCTTCCTAGTGTTAAATACCCACAATTTGTTAAATCATCCCTTCTTCATGGTAGATTTAAATCTTCTATGTAAACCTTAATTGGCCTGTCTTCTCAAAAATACTCTGTGACAATCCCAGTCATTAACTAAGCCACAAACAGTTTAAACCCTTTGATCAGCATTTTATTTAAATACTTGACTAAAAGCATTCAATGCCAGCTAAACTGCCTGTTTGTACATCACTGTCTCTGAGTGGCTCAATAGCCTTGTGCTGGTGTGCAGGCAAAGAACCTGCAGGGTTTTCTGCTGCTCCCTAACTGCATTTCATTCCAAGGGAAAGCTTGTGTGCCTGGCAGGCTGTGAAGCTCAGAGTGGTTTGTGCCTTGGTTCCGTGGGACAGTGCACCGTGAAGGCTGTGCCTTCAAACAGAAAGGGAGCCCAGAGACAGAATCATGGAATCGTGGGTGTCTGCAGGCATCCAAAATACACACTGATGGGCACAGGAATTCGGAAGTGACATGTGCTCAGACAGGTGGTAGGCTGTGAAATGTCACTTGGTATTAGGACCTTCTGGCATGGCTGTGTTTGAGCAGTCAGGTCATGCTTGGAGCTCAGCTACTGTACTGTGATTTGGATGTCCTTGATGGGTATGGTTTCAGCTCCAGGAAAAAGTCAAGGAAATTTGCATTTCAGCAGTACGTATTGGGAAGAATGGAAGGCATGGAATGTAATTTTCTCTGGATTTCTCTGTTGCAGGTGAGTGTTTTAACCACCTTGGAGCGGCGGTTCAATCTCCAGAGCGCCGACGTGGGCGTCATTGCCAGCAGCTTCGAGATTGGCAACCTGGCCCTCATCCTCTTCGTCAGCTACTTCGGGGCCCGGGGACACCGGCCACGCTTGATAGGATGTGGAGGGATAGTCATGGCCTTGGGTGCCCTCCTTTCTGCCTTGCCTGAATTTCTCACCCACCAGTACGAGTACGAGTCGGGAGAAATCCGCTGGGGAGCCGAAGGGAGGGATGTGTGTGCTGTCAACGGGTCCAGCAGCGATGAGGGACCAGACCCGGACCTTATCTGCAGGAATAGGACTGCTACCAACATGATGTACTTGCTGCTCATCGGGGCACAGGTCCTCCTGGGCATTGGTGCTACCCCTGTCCAGCCCCTGGGAGTTTCCTACATCGATGACCACGTGAGGCGGAAAGATTCCTCCCTGTACATAGGTAAGGCTCTCTGAACCTCTTCTCCTGGAAGGCTTTCCTTGTGGGCTGGCATCTGGCTCTTGTTGCCTGTTTGATGCCAGTGGAAGGGATGCCTCAAGGCCTCTTCTCCACGTGCTGCTGTGCTTGTGGAAGTAACTTGGCGTGGGTGTCTCCATCAAGCAGCAGGGAAGCACAGTAGTGCTTGCTTATATTGTACCAGTGGTAAAGGTTGACAGCTGTGATGATTGGGCAGATGCTCATTCCTTCTCTTGTGTTTGCCCAGATTGCTTTAAGTTCTTATATTGGTGGCTCATGGCTCACTTTTAGCTGAAGAATTTTTAAGTGGTGTGTGTGATGATGATTGACTTTTTTATTTTGGGGTTTTTTTCCCCCCACATGATACCCTAGTTCGCATCCTGTTCCAAAGCATCTGAGTGATCACTGCAGTCTGAGGAGACTGAGAGGACACACATGTTGTCACTACCACTGTCACATTTTAGCAAGGAAATGCCAGTTACAGAGTAGGTGCTGTGACCCAGGATGCTGTGGCAGGACCCTTGATAATGTGATCTCTGTAACGGAATGGGATGTGGAAACTGGTGAGGTCTATTTTGAGATACAGTCAGCCTGAAGTAGAACTCATGGTGCTGGTGATCATGTTGCAAAATTCTTTCGTATGGTTATGCTGTGAAATTTGCCTTTGATTCCCCAGTGAAACATCTCAGTTATTGGGGGTAAAGTGCTTGTGGGTTTCAGCAGTAGTTGCCCCTCCCAGCAGGTTTAAAGAGGATGTTGTTGGCAAAGTTTTCTTTGAAAAAATGTACCAGCTTGGCACATTCCTCTTTCTGTGGGATTTGTCACTAGGTGAGCTGCTCCAATGGAATAAATCAGTGGAGTGTGTGCTGCCATTGTTAGTATAATCCTGATTACCAAAAGTGTGCGCTTGTCCCATCATCCCCACCTTGGTGTGATTTTCAGCTGAATGCGTGATCCTTTTCCTGTTTGAGTTTTTTCTCAAAGACATTTTTATCTCGTTTCCAAGCTGAGTGTGGCCATTGAGAGCAGAGCTGAGCAGTCCTGCTGACTTTCAGAGTGCTTTTTAATGTCCTGGGTAGGGCAGAAGCCTGGTGGAAGGTCACTGCATAGCATAGCATTCATGGATGTATTGCTGCTTCACATAGAGCTTCGTCTGTGTATTCAAAACGTGTCCCTGCTTTTCTGTAGCTGGCCATAAAATCATAGTATTTCAGCATTTAGCTTTGTCCTTGGGTCATTACTCATCCTCACTTGGTTCTGTGAGTGTTTGTGAGGGATCCACTGGACAAAGAAGGATGATGTATAAAATACAAGATAATGTGCAACCCAAAGGTGAATAATGAGACTGAATTCACTGGAGCAACTGTGCCAACACCATAAATGATGAGCTGGAATTAAGAGTGATTCTAAGATTATCTATTATAAATAACTGTATGGAGGAGCAGCAACTTCTTTCAGTCTGTTCCGTGGGCATTTTTTAAGCAATGCTTCATATCTTGAGAACAGGCTGGAGGAGGGTGCATGAGAGGAGGATTAGGAAGAGTGATTCTTCTTCTTCTTCCTGAGCTACATTCATCTTGTATGCTAAAATAACGTGTTTAAAGTTGGCAGTTCAACTGTAGCTGGGAAAATGCTTCCAGAAAATTATTTCTGCTTACTATGTGCTGCTTTTTTATTTTTTCTGCAGAGATAAGGATGTTGTCTAACCGTATTTGTTACTACATGTGGAGTTTAAAAACAAACAAAGAAAAAAAGCCACACCAAAAAAAACTCACCGCAAAACCCCAAGCATTTTGGGGTTGTTTGCTTTCTGGCTTTAGCTATGGAAATCATAACCTGAATTTCTACATCTGAATTGTGGATTACAGAGGAGTGCCTGTGTATGCACACTCGACCAGCAATGAAGTTTAATTTCTGCCCTGTCCTAGCCTATCCATCACAGGTAGGGTTTCAGATACTGGATGATTAATTCATCTATCAACTTGCAATCAATTTTGCTAGTGAAAATAAAAGCTACCAGGAAAAAAAATCTATTCCATGAATGAATATAAATGGAGAAGTAACAAGTGGAAGTGTCATCTTACATTGGTGGATACTTGAGAGGGAGTCAGATTGCTCAGTTTAAATGTTGTTTGAGAATTATTTGCTCAGATTTGTCTTTAACTGATTATTTTTGTTGATGTCATCAATGCAGTTTTCAGTGGCCTTAGAAGAAAGCTGGCTGAGCAGCTTACCCACTTCATTCTGCTCTGTTTCACAGAGGAAATAACTGCAGAGTGGATACTGTCACTGTGCTATATTTATATCAGTTTGCTTTCTCATAATAGCACACTCACTCAGTGGGGGCCGTGTGTGGCCAGATGAAATGTTTTTGGTTAAGTTCCCTAAGTTGAAATTAGGGGCAAATCTGGCATAGATCGTTCTCTCAGGATAGGAACTAATTAATAACAGTAGTAATAGTCTGGCTGAACTTTGTAGAATGACTGGCTGCTGCTGAGAAATGATCAGATTGACCAGTTTGTGCTGTCCTTAGTGTACTGCTTATGTTGAGTCTGGGTGTGCTGCATTGGGCTGCACTGTAGCTGAGGGTTAGAAGCAGTCTCTCAACCTGACAGCTAAGCACTAGTCATAAATAAAAATCCTCGTGTCCCAAGGCAGTGAATTAGATAGAAATAACTGTGTGCACCAAGAGGGCTTTTTTTTTCTCCTTATACGATGTATGAAAGTTAAGTGGGGTAATAATATAATATCTAATACAGTCACTTTGCAGTGAAATAACAATACAAGACACTTCTCTGGTTATTTTAAAAAAAAAGTCAAAACCCCAAGAACCCCCCCCCCCCACCAGTCTTCTTTTTTGTGTGTTAATACTCGTGTATGCAGAAGAATGCAGATGTGATACCATATGGAGTTTAAAGTGATGCTTTGGCTTTAATCATTAGTGGAACTAATAGCATCTGTGGAGTGTAATATTTTTCAGAAAACTGAAGCCCATCAGATTTCTCCTGTGGTTTCTCTGCAGTGACAGGCACACAGGAGGTTGTGGGCAGTGCACCTCTCTTGTGCATCCTTTGAAGTCAGGGGGTTGCTCAGGCTTGTGCTCTGCCAAGGAGGTGGGGATTCTTAGAGTTTCTTAATTAGAGAGGCAGGGGTGAGATACTACAGGAATATTTCTCTTCATGGGCTGCTGACTTGCAGCTTCATGTTTCTTGGTGGGTTTTTTTTTTGGTTTTTTTTTTTTGGTTTGGTTTGGTTTGGTTTTTTGGGGTTTTTTTTTTTTTGTTTTTTTGGTTTTTTTTTGCTGCCTGCAATGTGTTGCTACCAAACTCAAAAAGATTCTGTTGCTGTAGTAACCAGGCCTAGGAAAAAGGGGCTGTTTTGGTAACCCAGGGCAAAGTGAACCAAAGAGATGAGTGTGTGAAAGTACACACTGAAGTATGTTCCAAAGGAAGCACATCTGAGCTGTGGCAGGGTTAGAAAGATCATGGCAGCATGCCTGCTCTGGTTAATCATAGACCAGTTTGGGTTGGAAGGGATCTCAGAGATCATCCAGCTCCTACCCCTGCCATGGGTAGGGACACCTTTCACTGGAACAGGTTGCTGGTCAGGAGGAAACTCTCCTCCTGTTTTCAGCATCTGACTCAGAGGTCATATTGCTGGCAGTGGCAGCCAGAAGATGGAAAAAAATAAAGGAATTTTCTTAGCAGGTTGAAATGGGGGAAAATGTTCTGGTTTGGTGCTGGTTTGCTTGCTTTTCTCTGAATCTGATCTTGTATTTAATGTTGGAACTACCATCTAGTGGTTTCCAAGCTAACAGATTAATTTTACCTGTGTGTTTATTGGCATCTGGCATAAGTAACTCCTTTGAGTAGAGGAATTCATCATTCCTACAGACTCTGCAGGGCCTGTAACTGCTCCATCTTCACTAGTGTCAAAGGATTCCTTCAATTTGTGGCACTGTTTATTTTAAAGGAGTAAAGACTACTTACTATACGCTTCTTTTCTCCACCCACTAATGACTCACTTGGCATTTCCTTTTTTAGTTCTTTTTCTGCTCAGTCTTGCTGAGTTCTCTTGAAATCAGTGAGGACTTTGTCATTAGGACGGGGATCAGAGCTGCTACAAAGAGGGGAAAAAAGCCCTGATCTGACAGTGGCTGTATGGATTTGCTGCCTCTCAGATAAGCAGGAGCTTGCAGGTGGTTTTTTGGTCACTAGAGTGCCCGTGCTGCTCCCAGCAGTTCTTTGTGAGTTCCATTAGGGCCAGTGCACTGATGTGGTTGGTTAATGTTTTTAGCAGCCTGAGACACATCTTCTGGCCTTCCTGCTGCATTTAACATTTGCTGATAAAAGTTCTTGCATCTTGTCTAGGACACAGTTACCCACAGAGCAGAATGAATAGCCTCTGGGAGCCAGTATTTGATCTGGGACAATTAAGGGCTGTATTAAACAGAGGAAGTTGCTATTATTCTGTCTCCAGTTGATGGAGGAAATTGATACTGATGTTGGAAGGAGCCCTGCCAGATTGTGAGACTCATTCAGAAGAATGCTGTGCTGATCTTTAATGCATTTCAGGGTGTCTCTCTGCATTTGTTGAAGCTGTCTGTGTGTTTGGCATCATGGGCACACACCCCTCATATTCAGGCCCCATGGCTTGGGGCCACTGGCTGAATTGCAGTAATGTGAAGCATGGCTTAAAGGAAACCCCAGAAGGGACAAGTCTTGAGTCAAGAAGTTTGTGCTGTGGAGTGATGAGTGCTCCTGAGTTATTGCTGTGCAAGGGTGTATCTGAGCACAGCATCCTCTGGGGCACAGAGCTGTCCTTGGCCTGCTTCATGACAGGGCAGAGGAATGCAGAAATGGATAACTCAGCTCTGCTTAGCTGCTTCCTTCTGTCTTACCTATTTGGCCTTTTCTCTGTGTATTTTGGTTTTATCATGCGGTTGTTCCAGCTCTTACCCTTGGTGTGAGAGGAGAGCTGAACAG